TGTGTGGCAGTCATCCGTGAGGGGCTGCCATTTTTACTTTTGTTTTGTGTTTGTTTATTTTATAATAATTAAAGTCTTTAAATGTTCACTGTTTCCAGCATCCTTCTTCCCCTGGACAACTAAGCTCGTTACAAGCAGCTTTCGTTTCTGCTCTGATAGCTGCAAGACCACGGCGAACACGGTGAACACCCCGTCACTGCAAAGTTATTTTCCGTTTTCTTCGCTTAGGGGTAAAATGAAGTTCGAAATACATGACCAGCGATATATACTATAACTGCACATGCTTCTTTAAATGCTAGCTATGAATCTAACCGCTATAGACCAATGGTAGTACAAAGGTATTATTCACCAGCCGTAACAAACTTTTCTGGGAAGTTCGCTTAGGCAAGGGGTTTCGAACTCTCAAAACAAACTTCGCTTTGGCCTGATTTTGTTCGAAATGACGTCACAGCAGTTTTGTTCTTCAGTTTTGCTTGAAGTATATCAGGGCCTTCAGTGCGTGTTAGAAATTAGGAATGGTGAGATAAAGTGTTTGTTACATTTTTCGTCTTCAAATCAAACTTGCGTCTTCAGCCGACAAAGCTTAAATCCCTTCTGGCTAGTGCGCTTCTCATAATGTTTACAGATTATATCAGTAGGCGGAGAGTAGGTCATCCACTTGTGAGCCGATTGTCCAAAACGCATCGCAATGCGAGGTGTAAACAGGGCCTAAGTGTTGGACAATAGGGGGCCTTCTAAGTTCTAATCAAAAAAGTTCAGAACCACTGGTCTATACATCACTTTATGGGAAGAAAGTTCTGTACATCCCAAAATCCATCTATTCTTGTTTGGGGGAACTGAAAAAAAACAGGGTTATTAAGGACATTTCCAGGATGACAGTATTTTGGTATATTATGACTGCACATTATTTGGTATCTTTAATTTTTTTTTACAAAAAACTAAAATAAAACAAATGCCCTCACCAAACCAAATGCACTAGTCAATGGTCTTTAAACTAGTCTGTGTGATAAACCAGTGTTTCAAGGCATATCTCTTCTTGCAGTGGGTGAGCAGAGAAATTGCTTTGGAGGTAATGCCCCTCATCAAATTCATCAGCAGTCAGGGGATTATACCGTTATATTACCAAAAAGCTTACGATCTTACGGCCAACGGAGGGATTAAACACTTCTCATAAAATGAAGACAGGAGAAGCAAACCATCTGACCGAGTCATTATGACCCCATACACAAACAGCACTAGCAAACAGACTGCAATCACTTTTAGGGGCTGTTCACACAGAATGTGTTTTTCCATTCCACTGGACTACTTTTCCATTGTTTTTCAATGTAAATGCGCTAGACGGGCATCTTTAACTGTTGTACTCACATCTTGTGTCTTTTGCAGCATCTCACAATAAACGACCAAGATTGCAGACTGGACACAGGCTAGATATATCCTGCTTACATCTATTAGTACAGAGACAGCAACCTCCAGTGATTTAATCACTGTTGGTGTGAACGAGACTTTATGGGTAGAAAGGCTTAAATTTACATCAGACCACCCCACATTTACACACACTTAATTGTGTGTTGTACTGACTGACTGAGGAGGTTTAAAAGTCCTTTTCTCCACTGACTCCGTGCTAAATCCACTTCTGCTTCATTTGTGCAAAGTACCTTGTTATGTAGCTTAGATCTGTAATATGTAAATTAAATGTGGGCTTTGTCTATATTTACAACAAAGTAGTGTACAATACAACAAAGTAGTGTACAATACAAGTCAGGGCTCTAGAGTGCGATCAAAATATGTAAGGATGCAACTAAAAATTTTCCTAGGTCGCACCGGTGCACCTAACATCCTCGCATCCGCTGCCTCTCCACGAACGAAGCGCTTGTTCTCCTTTGACGAAACTCACACTCATGTTTAGATCATATCGTGGTCTAAACCAATCAGAGACAGAGATGGGACGGGTCTTTGCCTCTGATTGGCTGTGGTCCAGATATTCCTGTAGGCCTACACTGCTGCTCGTGCTCCATGCTGTGTGATTGAAATTGCAACCTGAGCACCAGAGAATCAGGCCTCGTTTAAACTGTCAGTGAAATGTGACCCAATTCCGATTTTTTGCTATGTGACAGATCGGATGCGTTCTAAGACCGTGTAAACAGGAAAAAAACGCATGCATTCAGATATTTCGAGATCAGTTTCAGGCCTCGTTCATATGTGGAAATAAATCAGATATGTGCCAATGCGACTGTCATGTAAACAGGCAGATCGGATTTTCTGAGGCATTAGGCTACGTCTCCGCGGTTTAATGACGAGAGCAATCGCATCTGCAAAGGGACGGATGTCCCGACGAAACGCTGTGTCGTCGTAGGAGAGGAAATGTGGACACACGTTGACAACATATCAAAGGTTGGCTTACTCATCCTAAAATTTCGGACCCACTGCTCCTTGTTAAAGCCCGCCACGATCTCATGAAAGTGCGTCTATAGCACGAATTTTATTTATCGTGCCATTTACGCCAAAAATTGTTTTTGATTGCATATGATACGCACTTTATGGCGTTTAATACGCACGTTCACAGTGAGGCAGTGAGCTAAAAATTATTTTTGCCGTATAAATGGCACGAGAGATCAAATTCGTGCTATAGATACGCACTTTCATGAGATCGTGTTGTATGTTCCCACCAGTCCCGAGATCTCTCTCGCTGTGCGTTCGTCCATCTGTGCAAGAAGGACCCCCTTTAAACATGCGCGATGTTTCAGATCTATGTCAAGTGTAAACACATGAATCAGATATTGGTCACAATTTAAAGAACGTGTAAACGGACGGTTGAAAAAAATCGGATACAGGCAACAAATCAGAATTGGGCATCAAGACCTCCAGTGTAAACGAGACCACGGCAATCAGCATCAGCAAAATAAACGCAAGAAAACAGACAACAAACAATGAAAAGAAATAGACACAGAGTTTTTTCTTTAAGAAAAGTAGGCCTGTTCCCCCCAACACTCTCCCCGGTCAATGCTCCGACAACAGCCCAGACATGGAGCTATTTCAGCCATCAGTTGAGGGAAGCACTTTTAAACAGAACCACTTTCTATTTCTATTTTGAAACGCTTAAAATGTTTTTATTTTAAAAAAAAGATCTTTATTTTTATATACAGTATAATTGTGCTTCAAAAAAGAAAAGAAAAAAGTATTTACCTACACCTTATTCTTGTTTAAAATCATTTACATAATATACACTCACCTAAAGGATTATTAGGAACACCATACTAATACTGTGTTTGACCCCCTTTCGCCTTCAGAACTGCCTTAATTCTATGTGGCATTAATTCAACAAGGTGCTGAAAGCATTCTTTAGAAATTTTGGCCCATATTGATAGGATAGCATCTTGCAGTTGATGGAGATTTGTGGGATGCACATCCAGGGCACGAAGCTCCCGTTCCACCACATCCCAAAGATGCTCTATTGGGTTGAGATCTGGTGACTGTGGGGGCCATTTTAGTACAGTGAACTCATTGTCATGTTCAAGAAACCAATTTGAAATGATTCGAGCTTTGTGACGTGCATTATCCTGCTGGAAGTAGCCATCAGAGGATGGGTACATGGTGGCCATAAAGGGATGGACATGGTCTGAAACAATGCTCAGGTAGGCTGTGGCATTAAAACGATGCCCAATTGGCACTAAGGGGGCCTAAAGTGTGCCAAGAAAACATCCCCCACACCATTACACCACCACCACCAGCCTGCACAGTGGTAACAAGGCATGATGGGTCCATGTTCTCATTCTGTTTACGCCAAATTCTGACTCTACCATCTGAATGTCTCAACAGAAATCGAGACTCATCAGACCAGGCAACATTTTTCCAGTCTTCAACTGTCCAATTTTGGTGAGCTCTTGCAAATTGTAGCCTCTTTTTCCTATTTGTAGTGGAGATGAGTGGTACCCGGTGGGGTCTTCTGCTGTTGTAGCCCATCCGCCTCAAGGTTGTGCGTGTTGTGGCTTCACAAATGCTTTGCTGCATACCTCGGTTGTAACTAGTGGTTATTTCAGTCAAAGTTACTCTTCTATCAGATTGAATCAGTCGGCCCATTCTCCTCTGACCTCTAGCATCAACAAGGCATTTTCGCCCACAGGACTGCCGCATACTGGATGTTTTTCCCTTTTCACACCATTCTTTGTAAACCCTAGAAATGGTTGTGCGTGAAAATCCCAGTAACTGAGCAGATTGTGAAATACTCAGACCAGCCCGTCTGGCACCAACAACCATGCCACGCTCAAAATTGCTTAAATCACCTTTCTTTCCCATTCTGACATTCAGTTTGGAGTTCAGGAGATTGTCTTGACCAGGACCACACCCCTAAATGCATTGAAGCAACTGCCATGTGATTGGTTGATTAGATAATTGCATTAATGAGAAATTGAACAGGTGTTCCTAATAATCCTTTAGGTGAGTGTATATGAATGTATATGGAGCGTGATAAAAAGGTGACCTTGAAATTGTAGCGTTAAAGGCAACGTGAGCAGAGGAAAAATTTGGGTGTACCTAAATTTTGTGCTGGTGCACCAGTGCAACCAAGGCAAAAAGTTAGTCTGGAGCCCTGCAAGTACACTACTGTTCTAAAGTCTGGAGTCAGTACAATTTTTGTAAGAAATTAATAGTTTTATTCAGCAAGGATGCATTAAATAAATTTATAATGGAAAAAATGTATCACAGTTTATCAAAGGAATCAAATACATTCAAATACTTTAGAATCAAATAAATTGAGCCTTGCTGAGTATAAGAAACAAACAAAACAAAAAACTAGATTTTTTTTTAGAAAAATGACTGACCCCAAGCTATTGAACAATAGTGCACTGAAACTATTTAGTGATTTCAACCATTTCATATGGCACAACACTAGAGTGAATAACTGATCATAAGCAGTGTCTAACAAAAGTGAATGGATAACACAATAGTGATTTAGCCAGTTGCTAACAGGTTTGTAAATGGCAATACTGTTTCTTGTTTCTTACCCAGCTCCAATCATCAGTGAACGTCTGACTGTGCCGTCATTGTGCTCTATGCCACAGCTAGGATACTCTGCTCCGATTCATTTAGGGATCTGCTTCACAGAACAGTTTGTCATACCTGAAACAGATGAAATAGAAACAGAAATAAGGTGAGCTGTGGAAATAGAAAAATAAGAAAATCTTTACAGAATAATTTGACCTTTTACTCAAGAAACTCGTTGCCTAATCCATGAACATTCCTGCAAGCAGGACACAGTTTCTTCTGATCATACTCTTGATCAAATATCAAAGATCAAGGACAAAAGAGTATGGTCAGAATAAACTCTGTCCTGCTTGCACGAATGTTACAGCTGTATACTGATTGGGACATTTTTACACAGTCCTGTGGTGATGATTTGGATTCACTGGTGGATGTAACATGCTCATATGTTGCTTTTTGCAGGGACATGAAAATTCCCTGTAAACATGTTAAATTACATTCTAATAACAAACCACGGGTTACTAAATCTGTTAAGTCCTGCTTACAAATTTAAAAATAAAAAAAATAAAATATATTAGCCTTTAAACAGGGAGCAGCCTCCGATTGCATATGGCTACAAAATAGTTGCCAGCAGCCATGTCACCCTGTAGCCCAGGACTGGTTGCCCACTGAAGCTAAAGCAGCATTGAGCCTGGTCAGTACATGGATGGGAGACCTTCTGAGAAAACCATGTTGCTGCTGGAAGAGGTGTTAGTGAAGCCAGCAGGGGGTGCTCACCCTATGGTCTGTGTGGGTCCTAATGTCCCAGTAAAGTGATGGGGACGCTTTCGCACCGGAGGAGCCTTTTCATAGTTTCTAGAACTATTGGCGGAAGCACCCGGATTTTGCCGCGTTCACACCGCAGGAACTAGGAACTATTTTAGTTCTAGGAACTCTTTTGAAGGAACTAATTTAGCTCCTAATTCAGAGTAGGGTCTAAACCAGCGCTATAGGAACTATCCGTCACATTAGTGTACGCAAAACAGTGATAGATGGGCCTCTTAACCTTTACGTTGAGGAGAAAATCCAACGCAACTTTGAGCAGACCATGCGAAACATGATTATGTATTTCTGCTCAGCTAGCATCATTGGACATCAACCACACGGCATACTCTACTAACTTTTCATTACTGTCTAATTTCTATAATAGTTCTATCGAATAAGATATTAGACAGGACTGTTAGACAGATCGTAAACTAATGAACACGGAGAATGCAAGCATTGTTTGTTTGCTCAGGATCTGGCGTTCTCAGCCCCATCAAAATAAAGGTCTGTCACGCCGTCAAAATAAAAGTCACAACAACAAGCGCGCCTAACGTCACTTCAGAGTTCCTACTTGGCGGTGCGAATGCAACCAGAAAACGTTCCTAGGGGAACCATTAGTTCTCAGGGAACCATCCTGGTGGTTAGTTCCCAGAACTATCCGGTGCGAAAGCCCCTAAAACTATCAAAGAGCACCGTCCTTCGGATGAGACGTTAAACCGAGGTCCTGACTCTCTGTGGTCATTAAAACTCACAGGATGTCATTCGGAAAAAGAGTAGGAGTTTAACCCCCGCATCCTGGCCAAATTTGCCCCTTGGCCTCTGTCCATCATAGCCTCCTAATCATCCCCATATATACTGATTGGCTTCATCACTCGTCTACTCTCCACCAATAAGCTGGTGTGGGGTGGGCGTTCTGGCGCAATAGGGCTGCCGTCGCATCATCCAGGTGGATGCTGCAAATTGGTGGTGGTTGAGGAGATTCCCCCTTCCTTTTGTGAAGCACTTTGAGTACCTAGAAAAGCGATATATAAATGTAACGAATTACAAAAGAGTTGAAGATTGAAAAAAACTAAACAAAACTACAAAGTAGAATTGGAGAAAAAGAAAATTCTGGTTCAGCTTGGGCAAGTATGAAAATTATAGCAGGCCTTCACAATTTAAACAGCAGCACTGTTCACAGTTATGTTAGATGGTTTTAACTCGGATATTGCATTTGCAAATGCTCTAAATAGTTTTTATTGTTGTTTTTGATAATTTTGGATTTTAGCAAAGAAATTCAGGAATTGAGTCTTAAACTTATGGATACATTGATCAACATTGATCTTCAGTATCAATGCTTTTAATTCAGTAAATGTGAACAAAAGCCCTGGTCCTGATAATATCTGTGGCCGGTTACTTAAATCATGTTCAAAAGTCCTGTTTTCATGATTTGGGCTATATTACAGACACAACATGTACCTAACCTCTGGGAAGATACTGTGGTTGTATTTCAGTCCAGTCATGTTGACTTCAGTTTTAATGAAGATTTTTGAGAAATTGGTCAGGTCCGAGATCTTGAGGCAGACTGAACATGCACTGGACCCCTTGCAGTTCGCATAAAGGCCACAGAGGAGTGGAAGATGCAGTAACATTGCTTAATTTGCTTTTTAGACATTTGGATGGAAATGGGACACATGCCAGACTTCTATTTATAGACTTTTCGTCGGCTTTTAATACAATCCAACCCCACATTTTAACCAGAAGGCTCTTACAACAGTTTGAGTTAAGTAATAATCTGGTGGGTTGGATTCTTGACTTTTTAACCAATAGGACACAGAGAGTGAGGGTCAATGGTATTTTGTACCTCAAGGGTGTGTGTTGTCACCTTTAATATTTATTCCCTACACAAATATGTGTCAGAGCAGTTATGACAATGGAACCATCATAAAATATGCAGATGATTCGGTTATTGTTAGTCTGCTTCCAGAGAATGAGATCAGCCACTGCCCACTTATTGATGATTGTGTACACTGGTGTGAGGAATCTTACCTCCAGCTGAATATATCAAAAACTAAATACTGTATATGGTCATTGATTTTAGTAGGAACAATTGCATGCATGAAGCTACTGAAAGGTCAGACCATTGAGTATGTGCAAACCTTGGGACTATTATTGATGCAAAATTTAACTTTAACTTTAATTTAATTTATTTATTTATTCTCTTTTCATGGTAATGCAACACGAAATGCCACAACAGCAATTTAACAAATCCAACAAACACAACAAAAATACATTCCATGACAAGAAGAACAGGAGTAGGATGAAGAAAAAACAATCTTGAAGCTAAAAATCTTGCAGCCGTGTGCAAAAAGGGTCACCAGAACTTAAATTGTTTAAGGAAACTATCACACTTTCATATTGACCAAATGATAATGAACATGTTTTATCATACTTTTATTGAATCGGTTAAACCACATTTTAAATGGTCTAGTCGATTGGTTGGTGAGTCACAGTTGTATCCAGCATCCCTGTATACTAGACAGTTACAGACGATGGCTGCTTCTATTTTAAATGATGTCTCCCATTAAATGATGTCTCCCATCTTTGCACAGTGAGTTTCAGCTTCTTCCCTCTGGATGGAGGTTTTTAGTCCCAAGGTGCAGAACAAAGAGGTATAAAAACAGCTTTGTTCCTTCCGTTTTAACCTTGTTGAATAAGCGGTAGGGGTATTATGTGTGTATATTTGTATATGTATATGTATATAGACCTGCATGTATATAACTATATTTTATGATACAGTACGCCTTGAGTGAGTGATGGAGTCTTGAGCGAGTGATGGAGTCTTGAGCACATGTATCATGTTATTGTTATTTTGTTGTGATATATTATGATTTTTATGTGTTTTTGAAAATTGTGTGTCAAGAATGGATGCTATTATCATCATGTCATTTTACTCCAAAACAAATTTACCTGCGGGTACAAATAAAGTGCCCTAACCTAACTTAACGAAGGAGCTCACTAAAACATTTTCTGCAACCTGAAGACTAAGTTATCACTGTGTGCTTATGTTTACTGGTTGTCCATTTACGTCGATGGCATATCCACTTCCTGGAATAAACATCTGATTGCAAACAGCTAGATTAAATGTACTATCAAATATAGATGGTGTTGGCGGTTGTTTGTTGACTATTCTGTAAAAAAAACAAAAAAAAAATGTTCAGAGGAGATCAACTCCAAGCTAATTGGCCAGTTATCCATAAATGAAATCTGTTGTGAGTGAAAATTAAACTGGCACAGCACATTTGGCCTAGGCGTTAAGTACACTTTCACGTCAAGGAACACTGAGTTACAGTCTTTAAATAGACCATAAATGATGGAGAAGAAACAAATACATATTAGTAATTGCATTCATGATGAATTTACAGGCTTGTCGACAGCCTGGTCGTTAATGTAGTGACGATCCATCAACCACAGTGAGTGGATAGTGACTGTAACTTCACCCCACAATTAATCTCCGCCATAACAGTTTTCCGGCACCCGAGGAGAGGCTTGTTAAATTAAAAACTGCAGTAAATCACACCGTAAAAGAAGGTAGTGATCATTTTTTATAAAATGGGAATATTGACGAAGCACTTAAATCAGATATTTTCTAGTTTATAACATTCTGTTGTATACAAGGCTCATTGGCAGGGCTCCCATCCGTCACAATGTAACAATGTTATGGAATATAAAAAAAAAATAGATTAGATACCAGGAATGATTAGACATGATGTAGATAATTCATGACGATTCAGCCAAGTAGGGTTTTAAAAGGCTACATAAGCAAGCAACACACATTTTCAAGGTAAAATGCATTTAATGCTTCTCATTGCACATCACAGATGCTGATCTTCAGGGGGGGTGTCTTGGAGTCACAGCAGAAAAATCTCAGCATATCACTGCTAGTTAACACCTAATTTACGTGCGGCTGCCTGCTGGGCATTGTCGACGGTTACTATTAAAAGCCTCGTCTTTCATGCCTGCACCTAAATCACAGAAGCTGAAAGATGAAATCCCCGCAATTTAGAAATTCCTTCAGGTCATACTCTGATGGACAAGGAGGGGGGCTACAAACAAAAGAAGTGTGACCTCACGTATCAATGAGTACCTTGAGCTAAGCTCAATGTGCCAGGTCACTTCTAGCTACTGATTTACTCTTTTGAGCATGATCTTTTCAATTAATCAGTTTATCCCATTCACAAATTCAGTCTGAAAAATCAGTTCACGAATCAAACATTACTTATAGAAAGGCTATAGTGCAAATATCATAAGTCTTCAGTGAATAACAACTTAAATTTCATTCTGTTTCTCATACA